GGGGGGGCTATTGCTTTGAAATGTTTCCCAGCAGAGAGGCTCCAAGAAATGGAACCATAGAATTCAAGAAGCAATCACCAAAACACAGGTTGGCAGCTGTGAAGGGCCATGAGCAGCTTTCCAGGCAAGTTTAATATACTTGTGATAGTAAATGTTCTTCACAGGGACAGGCCTGATAAAATCCTGCGAACATGGGTACTTTATCATTGCAAATGTAACAATTTTCATTTGTTTTAATTCCATGATTAGTTCTGTTAATAAAAATGTCTATTTAAACTATTTAAGACGCCCACTAAAATTCTCTAATATTAATTTCATGGAAAAATTCCAACAGAACTATATTAGTTTTTCCCCCATTAAGGTAACATTATGGACTTTTAATGGAGCTCTCAGCTATAATGGTTTTTATTGACCTAATTATTAAATGAATTAAAATTTGTCTCACCGCCTTCAAAATTATGTAATAGCAGCATCAGAGGGATGCCATGGTTGGTTACCAAAGGGTAAAAAAGGAGAGTTCCTGAACTACACACACCCTTTATATGAGGAAATATCAATGATACTGTTGCTTCATTGAATGTATTTGCCTTTCACTATTTAAGATACTTCTAATACCAAAAGGATACTTTGCGGTGAGTTATACTGCTCTACATGGGAAACTTCAGCTTTTGCTTCCTTGCTCTTAATGCTTGTCTCTTGGGATGACTTCCACAAATAATTTAGAATTTTACTGGGGCACCTGGGTGGCTCAGTTGGCTAAGTGTTCAACTTCAGCTCAGGTCATGATCTCACAGTTCATGAGCTTGAGACCTGCATTGAGCCTCATGCTGACCACTCGGAGCCTGGAGCCTGCTTTGGATTCTGTCTCTCTGTCTCTCTGTCTCTCTGTTTCTCTGTCTCTCTCTCTCTCTCTGCCCCTGCCTTGCTTGTGCTCTCTCTCTCTCTCTCTCAAAAATAAACATTAAAATAAAAGGCATTTTAACAATGATATTAAATATATGATAGAACCTTTGAGGAGGTTTTTACAAATGAGTTTTTAGCTCAAAACTAATATGGTCAGTGAAATAAATTGAAATAGCACAGAGGGAAGAGAGTAAAATATCAAACCCAACTGTCCAGAAATACTGCTGTTGAAAGTGTGAGGAAGCTGTTTGTACATTATCAATCTCTGCCTTCTAATATTTGACATTTCTTTGGCACAGATAGCAAATAAGTGACACCCCTGTCCCTAATTCCGTCTCCCTGTTCCAAGGCAGACATCACTAAACGATTGCTGCACCCTTTCTCACTGAGCCATGCAATCTGGGATTTATCTCGGGCCTGTGCTTCAGATAAACCTGTCTACTAAGTCTTGACATGGGAATTGAAACCTATTTTGTATCCTTGATAGTCACAATTTATAAAGTGTGCTCCTAGACAAATACATATGAATCTCATTTGCTCATCAAGGAAATCCTGTGAGCAAAGGAGAAACTTATCAGTCCTAGTTAGCAGACCAAATCCCAAGACTCTGTAAGGATGGTACTAAATCAGGGCATATAGCTGGTGAGGAGGAGTAAATTAGAATGAAAAGGCACAGCTCCTGACTCCTGCTCTATTGATTGCTCTGTCAGGCTTTTCATTCTTTCATTCTACACGTATTTATCGAGCACTTTCTATGTGTCAGGCACAAGATAATCAGCAATGAGCAAAGCAGGCCTGGTCTCTGCCCTCAAGGAATTTCCATTCTGGTGAAGACAGACAATAAACTCACAAATAAATAACATGATTTTAGGTAGCAATGGATACTATGAAGAAAATAATTGGATAGACATAGCTTCACTGGTTCAGGGAGTTGCAGGGAAGTTCTCCCTGAAGACTGACATTTGAGTGGAAATCCAGCAGAAGAAGGATCCATGATGAAGACTCTTGGGAACAAAATGTGAAACAGAAGCAGAGGGAGAGAAGCTGATGCAAAAGGTTGAGGATGGAAGGGGTCCCGTGTGTTCAAGAGATACCTGAGAATAGGTCTTGGGGGAGAAGGAAAGAGGTAGGCTGGGGCCAGATCATGCAGGACCAGGGTAAGGGGTTTGGATTTTAGTTTTCTTTTATTGGACACCTAGAAGAGAGCATTAAGTACAAAGCAACCCAACCCAGTGCACGTTGAGCACAGAGTGGAGACATTGTGGCTGGCCTCCACAGCAACATCTACCCAGTCACTAGACACAGTTTTGTCTTGAATGCAAACTAGAGCAAACCAGGTCTTGCTGTCAGTGCACACTCCTACGCATGGCTCCCTGTCCCCACCTCCTCCCCACAGCCACGGACTGGAACATATACAAGGATCACAGGGCAGGACATTCAGTAGAGAGTCTGAGAGAGACAGAAATGAAGAAAAGTTCATAGTGTGTCATACAAAACTTGAATAATGCACAGCTTCCTGCAAGGAAATAGGTATATAAACCCGTTAGAGCTAAAAAGAGAAGGCTTGCCTTCCAGTCACCATTTAGGTTTTTTTGTTGTTGTTGTTGTTTTGTTTTGTTTTTGCCAGATGGCAGTTTTATGGTTTTATTAACACAAATGAGATGTGCACATAAGCTGTCTATTTATTTTTTTCACCGCATAGCCTGGCATTGGATTGGTGACCCTGATGTCCAGCTGGGTTTGTTTCCACAATGGCTTTGTTCTTGGAAGAGACATTGTGAGCATAAACCTCAAGTTCTGGCCCTTGAATCTTCCTCATACCCTGCTGTTACTGCCTCTGGGTTTCCGCCGGTTGTGCTCGATTTTGACATATCATTTTGACTGGTGCCAGATGAACTTCTTGATCCTCTTTTGAATGATCTTGGGCTTTATCAGAGGTCTGAGAATGGCAGTGATGCAGCGTAGTAGAGGGGTATCACCCCCGCGGGCAACGCTGAGAAAGATAAGGGTCTACGGCCACCACTTCTGATTGAATGTAGCTCTCTTCTTCTTGGTGGGGACATCTCTTTGAACATAGTCCTTAACACACTATTAAATTCACCCTCATTGTGCTGTTTGGTTTGTTTTAATCGCTATATACTTTCTGAGGTAGCATTATTTTCATAAAAATAATAAGAGCTGTTGTCATTATCATTAACAATACCTGCAGTCTGCTGAGTAATGTCTATATGCCAGACACTGTGCTAAGTGCTTTTACTGCATTCTCTCAACCTTCTGAGTAGTTTACTATTATTATGCTGTTTTACAAAGGCAGAAACTTAGCCACAGTAAGATTAACTAGAGCTTACCCAAGATCATCCAGAGAGGGAAGATAGAGTCCAGGAGATTTAACTTTACCAAAAAAGGACCTTCACATATATTGTCAAATGAAAGAGTGTGCATGAGTTTGGGAGTAAACTAGGACTGAGTTGGAGACCTGTGACAGTTTCTTCAACTGTAATCCAGGGGTTATGACAGCACTGACTTCAAAGTGTTTGGTGGAATGAAATGAGATATAATTAAACACATAGGAGGGTGCCTAGCGCACAATAAATGTACCCCACAAACCATGTCATGTGGGCACTAGGCCTTGGTGCCCTGACATGCAAGTTAATAGTAGCTGTCTCAGAGGACTCTTGAGGACATGATAGTTTGCAAAGTTCTTAACACAGCACCTGGTATTTTCCTCTGCACCCTGTAAATAGTGGGGGGGGGAGGGGGTGGCGCTCATGCTAATCTAAGAACAAATGATGTCTTGAATTTGTAACACCCATTGCAAACCAAAGTAGCAATTGGGGAGATCTCTTCTGTACTCATCATTTCTGAAACAGGAAAAAAGTCGGTTATTGATAACATGAGTGCATCTGAAATCAACTTGTGGTAATGCTAATGAGCTGACACATTTTAACTCTGTCTGATACTGTTTCAGAAGGAGACAGTTGTGCTGCAGTGGACAAATTTAGTGTAAGACCTTTGAAGGAAAGTCTGATGTGTGATATTTAGTATAAGTCAGCTTCTGATAACAGTATGTTCTAGAGAATTGCAGATGTTCTCAAATCACATAATATTTCTCTAAAAAACTGTGTGTGATATTTATCTGATAGAGCATCTGGCATGACGGAGAGTGTGAGTTTCTTTTTTCCTGATTTAAAAACAACACCAATACTGCAGATCTCTGGCTGAGCTCATCGGAAACATCCTGCATATGTGGCAGTGAGATTAATAGATTCCAGAATTGTGTCCCATGCTCACCCAGGGTTCATGTTAATGTGAAATGCAGTTGGTAAGTGCTGTGGCCTGTATCTGCCTTGTTCTTGAGGATTCGTGTGGGCCAGGCCAGGGCTGAGGGCACTGCTGAACCTGAATGAGGAAGAAAACAGGATTGCTGCCTTCATTGGGCTTGCTCTCAAGCACCAGGTCTTTTTCTCTCTGAAGTTATGCCCCCATTAAGGACAAAGAAATAGAAAGTTTTCCTCTTTCAAATGAGGCAGCAAGGCAATAACTTCCCTCCAAAGGTTTTATCAACTTCAATCAAATCTTTCTTGGAAAGACCTGTCCCCTAATCTCACCAAGGTCGTGTAAATTCTGCATTTCCTTAAATTACTCTCTGGCCATGCTCTGAAGGAAGCCTTCACTGAATTCTTGCAATGACTGTGCTTCTGGTAGGCAGCATAGGAGTGGGGAGGGGAGGGTTTGGTGAGTGCTGTTCTGGAAGCTGGAAGGCTCCAGTTATCTCTGGCACTAGCCATGTGACCTTGGGCAAGGCCTGGCTCTCCTTGTCATCTAAGGTACATGAGGGACTTGGACACAGCTTCCCTTCATCTGTAACACCGTGTCAACACCAACTTTGCCCTTCCCCTCTGGAGACAGACACTTGATGTGCAAATTCCTTCTGGCCTGTAATGAAGAATGGCTGCTTCTTTATTTAGCCTGCAAATTCCCCTTCTTTGTTTGTAATGACCATCTAAAATAGAAGTTCTTATTCTGGAGTCCCCAGATAGACCCTTAAATGAGTTGCAAAAGCTGCAATATAGGTGAAATATTTAAGGGGCCAGGGGAAAGCTTTATGATTTTCATTTATTTATTCAGTAAATATTGAACACCTATTATCTTCCAGGCAATGAGCTAAGCAAGGGAAATAAAATGGTGATCTGGGCAGATACAGTCCCTGGCCTCCGAGAGCCTCCTTTGTAATCAGGAAGATTCTAGAAATGATAAATGGGCGATCATGGTGTGGTAGGAAAGAGGTATGGTGGGTTCACGGGAAACACATAAGCTGCTACAGGAGCCTGGGAGAAGGGCTCCTCACCCAGACACGATCAGATTTTCACAGGAGTTCAGACCTAGAGAAACAAAAAAGAATAAATGCTTCAGAAATAAAGGGAAATTGACGTGATGCTAGTATGAGCATACATGAAGAAGTGATGACAGGTGGACAGATACACTTGAGATGTTAATTCATGGCTAATAAGGCACTCAGCATTGCAAAGTTTGGCTTAAAAGCTTTAAATGATCATTGCCATCACAATCATAGCTAATGCATATTGAGCTCTTAGTATGTACCAGGTTCTTGCTAAGCATTTAACATCAGTTATCTGATTTAATCTTCACGAAATATCTGTGAGAAAGTCATATAGTCTGGCTTTATACATGAGAACGCAAGGGCTCATGGATATTAAATTATCAAGGTCCTCCAGCCAAAAAAATAAATAAATAAAAAGTAGCAAATCTGGGATTTAAATTCAGGTCTGGGTGATTCTTAAGCTTAGCACAAGTGTAGATTTTTGGATAATGGGGAGGGTGTACCTGGAAACTTCACCTTCCAAATAGTTGCAGAAGCACGTTTTCTTGGGGCTTTGTATCTTTTGGATCAAATCTAAGGCCAGGCCTTAGATTTAAAAACAAAAATGAAACGTCAATACCATCTGTTTCTCCTCACAGTGGAAGACATTCTCTTCTGGGCAGGCTTTGAGAGGCCCTCAATTACCAGCTCAAATTGAGATGGTTTAGTATACTTGTCTATGGCCCAAAACCAGTCATGGAGTTCAAAGAAGAAGCAAAGCTCTAAGGGGCTTATTAACAATTTAACATTTCCAAAGCATGTGGGATTGCTAATTCCATTTGCCACAGAAATGCTGGCATAATGATTGAGACCTAGTCACTGTAGGAATGCCAAAATGTGAAATCCATTGTGTAGTGGCATGGGCCCCCACTGTCTTATTGTAAGCCGCTGTAAGATCCTCTTTATCTGGCAGAGCACCTTACTCTTTCTCTTACAATTGACATTGACACCTCCACATCCAGAGCATCTGTATTATCTCTTCCTTCTCTTATGAGAGTTTGATCCAAAAGATACAAATCCCCTTAGCTTTTATTGATAGTCTTACTCCCCAAACACCTGGGGATGTCCTTGCCCTAAGAAGTAGGCTGGTTTATCATTCAACAAGCTTTTACTAAGGGCAGGGGATATAGAAGGGAGTTAGCCCATGCTCTCAAGAAGCCATGGCCAGGGGCGCCTGGGTGGCGCAGTCGGTTAAGCGTCCGACTTCAGCCAGGTCATGATCTCGCGGTCCGTGAGTTCGAGCCCTGCGTCAGGCGCTGGGCTGATGGCTCAGAGCCTGGAGCCTGTTTCCGATTCTGTGTCTCCCTCTCTCTCTGCCCCTCCCCCGTTCATGCTCTGTCTCTCTCTGTCCCAAAAAATAAAATAAAAACGTTGAAAAAAAAAATTAAAAAAAAAAAAAAAAGAAGAAGCCATGGCCAGTAATCAAAATTCTTTCAAGGAAGGAGGAAGGATTTATTTGTTCATGTAACTGAAATTCTAATGGTAGAGTTGATTCAGGCATGGCTGGATCTGGAAGCATAAGCAATGTCACTTCGTGTCTCTCTACTTCTTTCACACAGCTTCTTCCCAAGGAAGGTAATGTGAACACCAGCAGTTCACATTAGATTAGATTAGATTAATTAGGATTGCATCCTATTAGGTTATAGTGGAACGATTGTTTTTCCCAGCAATGCTTATTAAAATTTTGCACAGAAAACTCTGGTCCAACTTGAGTTACATACCCATTGCTGAACCAGGAACCATGGCCAGAGGGATAGGGTGCTCTGAGCAACCAGATCTAGATCCTGAGTCCATGTGTGAGGCCATGTAGAAACAATTCCATCCCAAGCACAAAGAATACAATAGTTTCTTACAAGGGAAAGGGGTGCCATACACAGAAGATTGCAGAAGGAAAGCTGTGTATACAAAACACAGAGGGATGGGTATAAAGCATTAATGGAGCCCAGAAAAGTAGGGAGAAAGCTCAGAATTGCGTCCCAGAGGGGTTGGTATTTGAACAGAGTCACAGGGTAAATAGCAAGTCACAAATAGAACCGGAGAGTGAACTGTAATTTATTCCTGCTTTGGCTAATGCTCCAATAGTAAGTGACCTGGGAAAATCATTCATTCATTCAAAAGAAGTTCACAAAGCATCTACCAGCCAAGTTAGTGCTGGAGCTGCAGTAATGGACAAGACAGAAGCTGCTGTGCTTCTCATGTATATTACAGTCTAGAATGGTGACAAGCCCTTAATAATTGCACAAATGATAAAACAGCTATCCTTAGGAGTGCTTAAGAAGGAAAGATCACTATGCTAGTGTCAAAGTATACCTATGCCTTGCATTTCAGTTTCCTGAACCATAACATGGAAAAGAAGATTCTTACGTCCCTCTCCCATAACCAATCAATAGCACATAACACAGTGAGGAAGGCAGATAAATTCGTTTACACACACGTATGTATGCATGCACACAAGAAAATCAGAAAACACGTTGAAATAGTAAAACTTAGGGACACGTCTGCTCCTGTACTTAGATGGCTTATTGAGTATCACCTTAAAATACATCATTTTCTTACTACCCAAAAGATTCCTTTGTCCTTACCCTCTTAGTGTTCCCAATTGAATGCTTATATTTTTATACCCAAAGTCCTTAAACCATTGTATCTACATTCAGTATAAACACCATCATCTACCTTTTGTTATTTTCTGTCAAGCATTTTGGGGGTCAACAAACATTTTTTTTTTGTCCTGATAGGAATGGAAAACTTGGCATGGTGCTCTTAAACTACTGACTCTATTATTTACTAATTGAAATTGATTATACTCTTTTGTAACCATCCTGATCGTAAAAAAGATTCCATTGTAGAATCTGCCCTTGTAGGTATTTCAAGTGGAATTTACCTGCCCATTTGTACACACCTGAAAATCGAAATGGAGAGCAGATATGAGGCCACATGTGCAGATGACACAGCTGTAATGAAATGGCATTTGCAACGGGAGCCTCTCTATGAGGGATGGCAGAAGTGTGCCATGTTTGCCTGCATTCTCTTGTACCCGGTGGCTTTGATTCTTGATTAAATGAAAGCCAGATTGCTTATGGTTAACATTTTTAATGGGTTCATTCTCCAAGGTAGCTCATAAAGGCCCACTAATAAATCAAAGAGCCCTTCTAATCAGAATTTCAAGGGATACTACAACGTTGCTGATGCATTAATGAATTAGGAGCCCTGGAAGCTAGGTTCATAATTTTTTCTGAAGTCTCGACTCCCTGTCCTATATATATGTGTGTGTGTGTGTGTGTGTGTGTGTGTGTACACACATATATATGTATATGTATGTATATATATATATATATATGTATATATACGTATATATACATACATGTATATGTATATGTATGTATATATACGTATACATATGCGTATGTGTGTGTGTATATATATGTATGTATATATATACTTCCTCCTCCCCCCCCCCCCCCCCCCCCCCAAGAAAGAGAGACTCGAAAAGGAAGTTGGGGATAAATGTCTCCGTGTCAAAGCTAGCAATGTGTCTTCCACAAGACAAAGTGAGTTACTAGGAGAAAAATTCCCAAATGATTTAAAAGATACCATTTAAATTCTATTAGAATTTTTTGAAATAAAAGGCAGTGAGTTAAGTGAGAATAAGATGTAAACCTTCCTGCAATATTTGATTGCTAATGAACAGAAAGCATTAATCTTAGCAACAGAAAGAGAAAAATGCATAGCGGTTTTCATTAAATCAAGTAAATGATTAAATGAGTTAGTCAGTAGAAACCATTTTAATTTTCTGAATGTGAAATGTGTAGCTTATAACAAATAAATTCAAAGCACCTTTCTAAGCAAGTTTTGCCTATAAAAAAATGTGGGTTATAAAGATGTTTGGTATTTTCTTCTTTATAGATAGTCAATATTTTAATGCAGTGACATTAATTGTGCAGAATGAAATGCCCCTACTATCTGGGCTTAAAAAAAGTTGGCATCCAGTGCAACGTCCCTAATGGATCTTCAACACTATTACAAAATGATTGATTGTTGTCATAGTCATTTTAGCAGCTTTCAGAGCTGTTATATTTTTAATTAAATTGGCTGTGAATTTCATAAGTGGCAAAGGTTGATAAACTATCGCTTGGTACAATATTACTATTCTTCTCAGTGTGACTGTCATAGTTGGTACGTTTATGTGCATAATCTTAACATTCCATAAGTCTCTTTGGTCCCAGGCATTGATCTGCAAGATTACTTGCTGTTTGGAGATGGGGGAAGAAATGTAAAAATTAACTCAGCAAAGCACATGATTCTGAGACATTACTTGAACAGAGAGGAGATCTAGCCTCGCAACCCCACTGTCAGTTGGCTTGCCATCCTCCCTTGCTTGCACCTCATCGACATGGGGAAGCAGACATGGTTAGTAGGTCAGAGTGCCTATTCTTCCACCAATAGGTTGTGAGAGGCTCCTCTGAGCCAGGCCCAGGGCTGAATGCTGTGAACACAAGCATGAGTCTAGATGGAGCTCCAGGCACTGATCCATCTGAACAAATATTTCCCAAATAGGGTCCAACTCAGAGAAGTGCTCTGAAGGCAAGTGCTCATCTATAATGAAGGAGGCTACTAAGTCACAGGTGCAGGCAAGGCTCCTCTGAACAGGTGGCCCTGGAGCTGAGATCTGAAGGTGGGACAGCAGACAACAACACAAGGAGGGGGAAGAAGTGTGTTCCCAGCTAGCGAGCACCATGTGCATGGGCTCTGGGGTACCAAGGAACAATTTCAAGACCTGAAAGAAGGCAGTGGGCTGGAACCCAGAGCAAGGGTAAGGTGGGGAGGGGAGTGCTTTTAGCCACGGACACAGTGCCTGCATTTCCAGGAAGCCCCAGGGAATTGACTGACAACCATGGGGATAGCTATCAAAATGGTTCCATCAAGGCAAAATGCCCCACTCTTATGTATATGACTTCTATTGGCCATGAGAGAATCTGGGTTTATATCCCAGCTGAGCTGACC